CTATTGCTGCTGCTTGTCTGTCACCTGCTTCAACAGCTTCTCAGTGTCTATCTTCAGTGACTAGCTTCTCAGTGTCTAGATGGTGAGATTTTTTGGGAGGTTTTAAAGACTAGATAATAATACCATATAACAGGGCTGGGATTCATTTGCCAATATTCTTTATCAGTTGTGAAGGGAAATACTCACCGGTTGTGTGTCAGTGCTGAGACTGGGATGTAGCAAGCGGTCTTTCACCCGGATATTCCCTTTTCTCACGATAGCTCTGCCACATACAAGTCCTCTTTGTGATGCAGCACTCCAGCCAGGCTATACATTTAAATCCACTCCTTTCAGGGTTTGTCCAATAATGTGGAACTCTTCCAAAATTAGTAAACTTTAGGACTTCCCCTTTTGTCAGGATTTTAGGGTTGGAACCCTTACACATTCAGGGTCTTCCCTACCTAGATTCCCAACTAAGGGATAGTCTTTGGTCATTATTTCCTCTTCAGAGTTGGCAGGGAGCCAGGATCCACTCTCTCCACTTGACTGCAATCAAGGATCCAAAGCTGGTCAGCTGAAACCGGAACTTTGTGGTACTGTGCAGCTGCCTCCCTGGATGGCTTCCTAGTAGTGGCCAAAAGAACTAGAACACAACATTAAAATGTCTTGACTTTGAAAAGTCACCAGTCCCTCCTTTGCAGTTTTCTTGCAGTCAGTGTCTCCATGGATGTCTCAACTAGCAATTGCTTAGGGGATACACTTTTCCAAGAGCACAGGTCTACTTCCTTCCGCTCTCTTCCTCTTTCTGAACTTCACTTCTTCCCTTTCAAAATTCTGCCTCCAGAATGTGTAGTCTTTGCAGGTATGGCAGAGTGGAGCTACAGGGGTTCAGAACTATTCCTTAGCCCTCTATCTCCTGTGTGGGATTTGTATATCCCATCACAAAAACCATAACTTGTGTGGGCAAAAGGCTAAATTAGGTGCCCTCTGAAGAGAAGAGTGCAAGAAAGAGGTCCTGACATTTAGAAGTGATAATTAAGTAAAGAATTGTATTTAGAAATAATTGCAGTGACCTGGAGGATGGAAAGCTTGAAAATAATTGTGTGAATCCTAACTTAAAGGGACAAAGAGGGGGATGATAGAAGCAAGTTATATAGGTAGCAGATTGTGGGATGGAGACCTGCAGAGTTTTGGAATGTCAGGAAGGAATTGGTCTGATTTTGGAGTAAGAGAAGATGCTCCAAATGTACATGACTATATAAATTACTAGTAGATAAAGCTATACGTGAAGATATAGAAGTATATAACTTCTACATTTTTATAATACATAAAAACATAACTAGCATAACATCTGAGTGCTAAGGTAGGCTCTGGTCCTGCAAACAGTTACATACATGCTGTGCTTGAAAACATTGGTGCTTCTCATAGAAGTAAAATTAAGTGTTGCATGACTGGAGCCTTAATCCCAGTCTTACAGTTTTTTTCTGTTCAGGCAGTCTGCCTGTATGGAACAAGTTACAGGATAATTTCAAGTTGTGATATTGTTTAAATACTTCTTTCCTTAGTCATATGTCTATTGTGGATGGAGAAGGCTTGGTGGCAAAGTGTAGTGGAGACACAGTTCAAATAGTTCCTAAGGCTACAGATAACAAATACTGAAAATATTTTTTTCAGTGCATCTCACAAAACCACTGCATAATTTAGCATTGCTGGCAATTTCTGTTGGTTCCAGGCTGCAATAACAGAGTTGTTGCAAAGTAGTAACAAGGTATGTTGGCAAAGCTCTGTAGAAGGCTTGGAGAATCCAGCTTTTAATGAGCTGGATCCTATTCACATTGAAGTCAGTGGAAGCCTCTCCATTGACTCAATGGGAACTAAATCAGGTCTTCCACAGGACCTTCCACATCTAGCTGAAGTCAGCACTACTCTAACTTTCATGGGTACCTAACACTAAATTAATTCAGAAACTTTTTTTAAAGAAATTTGTGCATAGACATTCATTTCATTTTTTTTATGGTAACTTGCTGTAATAGCAACACGGCCTCCCTCTGACCTGGAAGTGGAAGGGCCCTCTAAGACCTGTTGGTGGGTAGGTCCAGCCTCACCTAGCCCCGCCCACAAGAAGCTGGAGAATGGGACTAGCACTATAAGAGCTGTGAGCTCAGTCAGAGCCTGGGAGCTGAACAGGCCAGATGCTCAGCCTCAGCTCCCACAGTGAAGGGTTCAGCTATGCTGCACCCAACAGGAGGACTGGGTTGGAGTGCCAGGACCCCTGCTGCCCCTCCCCCAAGAACTGGCCTGGGCTGCTTAGACCACTGCCACGGCCTGAAGACATACCAAGACCTCCGATATTCCTGCCAGGCTCTGGTAACTGGACTGGTCCACCAGGGCCCCTGCCCGAGTTGGAACCCATGGACATCTTGGCAGCACCTCTGTCCCCAGCTGACCCCAAGGAGCAGAGCCTGATAGACCCCAAAGAAGGGGAACTGGGAAGCAGTCCAGGGACATTTGACCCCAAGGTGGCAGAGGAGACGGAGGTCGGGTGGCAGCATGTTGCAGCTTGGATCCCCACTGACCCACAAACCTAGTCGGTATGTTTTGGATCTCTACAATGGACATCTTGGCAGCACCTCTGTCCCCAGCTGACCCCAAGGAGCAGAGCCTGATAGACCCCAAAGAAGGGGAACTGGGAAGCAGTCCAGGGACATTTGACCCCAAGGTGGCAGAGGAGACGGAGGTCGGGTGGCAGCATGTTGCAGCTTGGATCCCCACTGACCCACAAACCTAGTCGGTATGTTTTGGATCTCTACAGACCCTTCCCTTGGATGGCAGGTTTCCCCCTGTGGGGCAAAACCCCTGTGCTTGTCAGCTCTCTGCCAGTGAGGAGAGCAGACTCCTGACAAGCAGGGACCTGGCTGGAGCTTTAAACTTTTGAACCACTTTTCGTAGACATTTGTCTGTCCGCCCCACCTTGACCCAGAGCTGGGCCTTATAAACTGAACTATTTGTGTTAAACATTTCTTCATCCACCCTGCCCTGACTATAAGTCTTGGCCTTATAAACTATTTACCAGGCTGGGCCTTATACACAGTCACTTGGCCTATGATGCAGGGTGGTTAGCAAAAAGAAGAGCTCAAATGGTTTGTGATGCATTCCAAATCTTGAAATGTACATTTAGAGATGAGTGAGATTGCATTTGTTTTGCAAAGTATGTGTAAAATGTTATTTCCACTCCTTTCACCTATTTGTTATTTCATCTGTATCAGACTGTCACCCAAATAAATATGGTTTGGTTAATTGTACAGAAGAATTTTATATCAGATGCAAGCAAAAATAATTTGATGGCTATTTTAGATGTTCTTTTGCCAGTTTGGGGTGGGAAAGCACAAGATGAGAAAAAGGAAAGATCAAGATAGAAAATCATAGAAGGGAGAGCACAGGCAGGGCTGAGAAGTGTGAGCTCATTTCGAAGTTCGAAGCAGATAAAACCTTAAACCTCAAATCTGCAATTGATTCTACTTAGGCAAACCCCTGTGTGTAGCCTACAACCAGGCTCTGTGCATGTATAAGACTGAGGTATATATGACTGAATAAATTTCCATCCCATGTAGTTATCTTCTGACAAACAAGCACATTGCATCTGTACTGTCCCTTTATTAGCCTCACGTCCTCATGTCTCACTGTTAAATAGTAATTTTAAGTTATTTATTTAGGAAAAGTTAATTTTAAACTTTATAAAAATTAAATGTCTTCTTCTGATAGCTTTTTATCTCATTTAGGTTCAGTAAGTCCCTTAGTTCGTTACACTTCTTGGTTGCTAGGAAGATGCCTTTAGTTGCAGAATTTGATCATCATTTATAGTAAAAGCTCTTGTGTAACATGCTGCGGGGCTTAGAGGGAGCCAGTTAATTGAATATTCTGGTTAACTGAGAGTTATTCTTTACCAGTGCAACACCAATTTTCAAAGAATTACAATACAACACAATAAAAAAAGTTTAAAATGGTTACACTTTCATATCCCTAACCTGTAAACTATGTATGCAGTTAATCAATGAGCCTGTATCAGAGGCAGCAATGCAGGAGGGCAGGTGGGAGCCAGCATGTGCGGGAAACCAGCTTAAAGCCCCCACTTCCTCATATACAACTGTGAAACCACAGAAAATTTCAGTGGCTACATGGTTACTTAATTAAATGCATTTTAACATTCCTAATACAGGTAGTCACCAGTCCGATAGTAGCACTGTGCTATAGAGTGCCAGATTTCTTGGACCATTTGGGTGTGTACAGGTACATTTTCCTATACAGGAGATTATCTTATGACACTACATATCACTATAGGCAGTGCACGGTGTACTCCCAGATAACTAAAAATACATTTAATACTAAAACTATACTGAACATAATTTAGTTTTCTAATGGCTCTAAAGGCCCTTCAAGATCATGCACAAGCATTGTAAACATCAGTTATCATTGTAGATGTAAAAAGTTTAAGATTTGGCTGAATCTCTAATGACCTTATGATACAACCTGGAAGCTGCTTTTTTTTTTTTTTTTTTAAATAAATCCCTGATATCAGCTTGCTTACCTGTTTTCTGCTTCTTTTGCATCAATTAGAGTGCAGAATGTACAACTGCATATGCAGGTCAATATAGTAGTCCCAGTTACTAGACTGAAGGTTTTTATTGGGAGAACACCAGAAGTGCTGGTTAATTGAGCGCCATATAACAGAGCTTTTACTCTACTAGCAGTATTGTAGTTGCAATGTAATAGCTGATTATAGTGATTTTAAATGTAGTGACTTACTTGAGGCTAGGCTTCCACCATCCTCACTCTTCTGGGTTGCTGAAGCCAGATAATATCCTAATCCTCCACAGAAATTAAAAGGCCTATGTTTGAAGCACTCTGCAGTTGCTCTTCTGATGTTTACAGGGTGACAAACCTTTTCCTCCTGACAGTCTACTCTCACATAGCAAGGGAATTGTTGTATTATAATGTATAGCTTTCTTTACTGGAATATAAATGCTTACTTCAGAAGAACATATACTAAAATTGGAACAACACAAAGAAGATCATCATGACCCTTTTACAAGGATGATGTACATTTGTGAAGCAGTTTAAAGAAAAACTGTTATTACAGTGATTATAATATTGTCATTATATTTGAAAATGGTTTTGTTTTGGTTTCATGTCTTTAAGAGAAAAGAGTAATTGCAACAACAACAAAAAAAAAGGATATTTAGGCACTATCTCCATCTAAACAGAAGATAGTGGTTTTTTTTAATTAAAAAATGCTGTTTCCTTACTGCTGCCTGCCATTGAATTTGGCTATATATGACAGCTTACCTCTCATGACTCAAAAGGCAACAGTAGAAACATGCTATTGCTGCAAAGTCATTATATAAATACAACATGTTTGTGCAGTTTGGGTCATGGGAATCCTATTTTAATTTACACTGTTGAATTAGTTTTCTGTTGGCACAATACTGCAGCAGGGCTTCAGGGTGAAATGGAAGAACAAAATACTAAGTTGGACAAGCACTGTATCCCTCAACAGTACAAGATGCCTCAAAACAATAGATCAAAACTGATTTACTTTAGCTGAAGTTTTAGAGACCTGAGTCTTCAGAAAAAATAAATTTCATATAAACAGGAGATCAAAACCCTGCAATGCACTGATTTGGGTGGAAATGATTTTCTCTTGTTAACTGTGGCCTAGAACAAAGAAATCTCACTATTTGGTTTAGATTAGAGTAAATTTGGAGCTGGACATTCTATTCTTGTTCTAGAATTAAAATGATGAAATACAAGCTGTACAATGGCATCTTAAATATGTAAACTTATAAACTAACCTACTCTACCCTTATTGCAAGCAATATTTGGTATACTTTAAAAGTTAAGCTAAATTCATTTGGTTATCTGAAGAATTACCTAAAACAATTGGTAAGCTTTTAACAGTATCCACTGGAATTGAACTAGTCATCAAAAATGTTTGCAAGTTACCTCCAATAAAAGGTAAATTTGCTTTTTATAATTATGTATAAGTTCATAGTATGTTTCTCTCAGTTTAACAACCTTGTAGCATTTTAATACAAAATCTAGTACATAACAAAAATTTCAGATGGCTATTTCAAATGGATTATTTTTGTTTTCAGCTCATCCAAAGGGGACCATATGGCATGTCCTCATATAACTGACATAACAGATAATAAAAAGTGCAAATTTACGCAAAATTTATCTAGATAAGACCACTATAATTGATTTTTTCACAAGGAAAATCGTAGGATAGAAAAGCACTTTCTCCTATCTTAAACAGAATGAGAAAAGTCTGCTGATGTTATCTATCATATGGTATTTGTAATTCAAATTCTTGTCTACTTCAGACCATTTTTTCCTCTCTTTAACCAACAAAGCCAGCCAAATCTAAACAAATGTCTTAGAAGACAATGAACTTTTATCAAGTTCCAGAATCTGTATGAATCAGGAGATAAGTAGTTGGTAACTATGTTTTTTATTTAGAGTGTTACCCACCCCTACCCTTTTTCCTGCAACTTGCTTGAAACTTGTCACGAGAATCTCAGGTCTGATGATGCATAACCAAGGGGGGTTGCGACTAATCAGGAGGGGGGGGGGGGGGGGGGAAGGAGGAGGACAGAACCAGGGACCTTTTAGCAAATAAAAGCTATTTATTTATAACAATGATGAATTTATAGTATTTATTCTAAGATTTCTAGTTAAACATGTCAGAAATATAAGGATAGGAACAGTGAGGGGAATAGTCTTTATTCTAAAGATATCCAGCTACACTAATTAATAACTACAAACTATGTACTACCAAAAACTACAACACTAAGCTTATACAACAAAAAATCAAATCATACATACCAACTTACACAGCACACGGAACATTTCGAAGATATCGGTTCAGTTGCAAAGGCCTTGATTATGCCCGAGAGTCGGGGGAGGCGGCTGGTCGGTTGATCAGGCTGGCAGCACTTTGGAGTATACGGGAAGGCACACGCACGGTGTTACGTGTGTTGCGAAGACCGCCTCGAGTGAACTGTGCGATGGGTATTTATCACCAAATCTGCACATCACTTTCCCGCGCTTGCATATTACCATATACGGCCCAACAGTCACCAAGTGGGGGGGTCTGTGTCCCAGGGGTTGGGCCAAAACTGTGCAGGTTTCACGTGACCAGGTAAGCCCGGCAGTTCTCACGCCAAGGTGACCGGTGGGAGAGTCTGAGGCTATTTTCCCCTTTTCACACCTTGCCTTTTTCTAAAGGCAATGGTATGCAGGAAGGGTGCGGCCAGTTTCTCCCAAGGAGTACTGCAGCCCACTATAGCAAGAGCGGCCTGGCCAAGCTTTTTTACTGGAGGGCGGGGGGGGGCAGGGGTTTTTTTTAATAAACAAAACTGTTCAGGGAAGAGTTAAAAAAATGTAATCTAGGGGAAGCAAGAGGTAGTGTGTACACAAACATCATATACTGAAGTGGTTTTCATGTGTGAAACGTAACTACTATTAATCTTTGTCTTCATTTCTGTTTTGCCCATTAATCCATCTCTCCAGGACATAGCCTAACATTGTAAATCCTCCCAAGCAGCTGAAAACAAGCACTATTGTTTCTAAAAATTAACTTGCTGAGGAAGTGTTGCTTATGTCTCCCTTCAAATGTGCAATTTCTGCCTCATTTACACCTACTTGAGCCCCATGATTACGAAGTTCAGCTTTGGACTACTAACAGGTAGGAGTACCAGGCTATAGGTGGTCTATTCTTTTTTTTCCCAATAGACAGCCCTGGGGATCAGAGCATAAGTTAGAGCAGGGGTGGCCAACCCATTTAACAAAGAGTCAAAACAGCGGTGGAAAAAATGCGAAGAACCGCACCAAAATTGTCAAGCAAAAATAAATAAATAATTTTTTTAAAAAAAGAGGTTGCCCCTTTAAGATGGCTGCCATCTTGGGTGCCATTTTTAAAATCCTGCAGCTCTGACCTGGTAAGCACAGGGAAGCTGGGGGGGGGG